TAAAATTTTCCTCTGTTGATGAAAATGTCACAGAGAAATAAAATTCTAAGCACTTTAAGTTCCACTGAGTGTCTGATCTTTGATTCATCTGTCCCACCCGACAATCCTCAAAGGAAGGATGGAAAACCAGCGCCCACGGCCACCACAGCCACGGGCATTGGCCTCCAACCCTCGGCACCCCAGCCTCTCCACAGGTCGAGTCCGCGGGAAGAGCTTAACGGATGCTGTGGCCTTTCTGCGGCAGAGACGGTCTGCCAGTGCGTGAGGAACGTGTGTCCCTTGGGGATTTGGCTGCAGGGAAGCCGGGGGCAGCTACAAGCCACAGTCAGAGGGGACAGCAGAGCCTGGGCTCTCCAAGTCGCCAGGAACAGAGCCACTGATGCGTCACCATGGGCGCCGTCCACCCCATGCCATCCCCTGAGCCATGGGCCCCGCTACCCCGTCTCTTTCTGCTGCCCCGTGACATGACAGCTACTCAGGGCTGGAGGAACCAGAAGGGGTGCTGCCGGCTGGCCTTCACTCTGTGCCCCCAGGAGCACCAGAGTCTGGATTCTCAGTGGGCTCCATGTGTGGGTTCAGGGGTGGAGACTCTGCGCTCCGGGCCCTGCCATGCCCCCGCCCTGGGCCCTGACTCCTATGCCCATGGCTCAGTCTGTGCCACCACGCACAGTGGGATCGGGAAGGGCCTCCCCAGGCCTCCAGGGCTGTGCTTTCTTGGGCCTGGGGAGCACAGTCCTGTCCGGCCCGGTCACTACTGGCGCTGGCCTCTGTCCTCAGTGTCCCAGGCTCCAGGCGGCTGCTGGCAGTTTCTGAGGTTTGGTCATGCAGCTCTCACCAAGGGGCTGGCCTTCGACGTGGCCTCTGGGGCCCAGCTTCACCGTGCCACGTAGACCGTCCTCCTCCTCTGTCCTGGGAGGACAGAGCCAGGCCTGGGAGCACACAGGGCAAGACTCTCTAACTTCAAAGACTTGAGACGTGGTGGTCACTGGCTTGTCCCGACTCCGGGGGCCCCGTGGGTGGTCACCCAGGAAGCGTGAGGGGCCAGCAGTGAGAAGAGGCCCCACTGTCCCCTCTGCTGTGAGGCACCCAGAGCCCCTTCCAGGCCGGTTCTCCTCGCCTCCCCGAGTCCCAGGCACCACGTCAGAGGCAGAGGCTGAACTCTCTCTTCTGCCGCATGTGCTCTGAGGAAGTCAACGTGGAAGCTCCACTTACGAACAGAGCACGGAGGAAACTGTCATTCTTCTCTTGTCAGTTCTCCAAGGCAGACTTCAGCCGAATAACGAGACCATTAAAATCACCCTTCATGTAACAAGAGCTGAAGTGGGGGGCTTATTCCACAAGGTCCTCAGGGTTCACACTCAGAGTCTTCATGGGATGGGCGACCTGGAAAGGGAATCACCCCTGCAGATACTTCTTTTCCAGGAGTTTTAAGAGGCCTTCTCACGGCCTCTCCTTGGTGGCCTGGGTGTGCTGGGGACACAGGTGTGACAAAGTGACGGCCCTGCTCTTCAGATCCAGACTTGGCCTGAGTGTTCTGGGCTCCCTCACAATCCGAGCTGCCTGCCACATGCAACACTGCCGACCTGCACCACCAACATGCTTCCTAAAAACAGACTCTGCTGTAAACAGCAGCACAGACCCGTCCTCAGCACCCGCAAGCTGCTGGGTGCCCAAACCGGCCCTGATGAATGCTGGGGAGAGAAACTGGGCAGGCGGGCACCAGGAGTTCACCCCACACAGGGCACAGCCCACCCACTGTGCGGGCGGGCAGCATCGCGGTTTTGGGCATGGCCTTCCAGTATTTCCCCTCCCCACTCGATGGTGACCCAGCAACACGAGTGACGTTGCCCTGGGGATTTATTTTCAGAAAAGGTGCACAGTTCTTGGTACAAAAGGAAACTACCATCCCCCACGCAGTACTCCTGAAAACCCCAGGACACACCGCAGCTGTGTGTGTGTGTGTGTGTGTGCGCGCGTTTGTGTGTGTGTGTGTGCAAACTGCCTTGCGTTCCTACGTGACACAGAGCTGAGGCTGAGCCCAGATGCTGTAAACAGTTTCCTCACCTGTGTGCAGGTTGGTGGAACACCTGTGGGAAGGTGGCACTGGGGGAGCTTCAGGAGAGTGTCCTGCACAGTGACTGGTGTCCTCAGGTTACGAGGCTCCCATGAGGGGCTCACCCCGCAGGCAGACTGCCTGCAAGGATCCTTGAGGAACTAGTATTCTTTGGGGGAAGAAACAGTTTTACAAAGTTCAGCACCTCCTTTAATCTCGTTTCAGTTTCTTTTCCTCAAACGCTAATTTTTACTTGTTTAAGTCAAGTATAATGAACTCTAACGCCCGTTAGTGTTGGTAAATATCTTCGTTTGAGTCTTTTATCACAAAATTCTTCCCAACCACCGGCTTGGCTCTCGTCTCCATGTTCAGAAAAGGAACCATCTTCGTTTCTGTGTCAGGGGATTCGGGGGGCAGTATTTTACTTTCTTATTTGTACTTTTTGCTTTAATTTTTAACAGCATGAAAAATAATATTTCCCAAAGGCAATAAAGTGTTGTGAGAATAGAGAGGGATTATGTGTATTAAGAATAAAAAATAAGAATTTTTATCCTTACAATCAATAAACAAGACTCTCCGCACTTGGCCTTGGGCTGCTGGCTGGAGCCGTGGTCCTCCGGGCTCTCGGAAGGAGCGCATCCCCTGCTCTGCCCTTTCTCCTGGGGTGTCCTCGGTGCAAGGTCCTTAAAATCAGCCTTCCTCTGGAACACCTCTGTGGCTGTGGTTAACCCTTCGGACACTTTAGGCCCGAGCCTGGTGCCAAGTGCGGCCAAGCCAGCCTCGCCTGGGGCAATTCCTCACGCACCGCCAGTCACTGTACTGCCAGTGACCACTTATGCACACGGAAGACCATGCTCACCTCTGTGGATCTGCTGGGGTTTTAACCACGACTCCCCAACGTGGTAGCGACGCAACACACAGCAGCCAGCTGGCCCCAGAGTGTAAACAGCACACTCAGCTCCTTGAGGGAAAGACGCCACTTTTCATCCACGTGGCCCAGTGCCCAGCAGAGTCCTGGGATGTTAGCCTCTGAATCACAAATGGAAAGTGTATCAATTAATGGGGCCACATTTAGGGGGACAGTCAGGTACAAGGATGGTGCCAGTGTCCAAAGGGCCCTTAAGGACGCTCCCAGGCCCCTGAAGCACGTGACAGTCGTCCAAGACAAGCACACCATGAGCACCAGGTGCCATCCAGACCCCGTGTGCCACGAGCCCGCTCTGCCTGGGGCCTCCCCCCACCACTGCCAGGCAGGGGACACTGTGGGTCTGAAGGTGCCCATCATGGGCACTGGCTATTCTCAGATGAAGGGAAAAGGCGACTGGCAGACTGCTGAGGCCGAGTTTAACAGATATGTCTGTGAGAAAGGGTGGCCACAAGGTAGCACTAGTGATGGGAACTCTAAGGCTTCCGGGCTCGCGATCAAGAGTGACCTTAAGCTGAAGCAAACGTCTCTTCACCCACAAAGTGGGGGTGGTAATAACTGTAAATCCCTAATGGGTTTTTGTGAGAACAGAGAGATGTCATGTGTAAGGAATTTACTGCATGCCTGGCACACAGCAGGTGCTCAATAAATGTTAGTTCCCCCTTTCCCCTTCATCCTCCATTAAGAGCATAATTAAAAAGCGGATGAGTACCCAGGTTTGCAGTGAGAACATCCCCAAGATAAGAACAAAGATTTTACTGAGTCTGTGAGGAGGAGGAGACAAGGCGGCCCCTGGACGTCTTCTGCGAACACTGCCTCCGGTGGCTGATTCCTGCCAGCTGCCATCAGTTACTGTCTGTGTTCATGTTGGAATGTTCTAGTCCCTTAAGAAAACATTTATTATTTTAGGACAGGCACATTTCCAGCCAGGGCAGTGGTGATGAACTGTGAAGAGGAGATATTCTTGGGGTTAATTTCCAGCAGAAGTATGTCAGCCGAGGTGAGTCAACAGCATAGCTGCTGATTGAAATACCCCCTTGTGGTGCAGACAGAAAACAGTCTGGAGAAACACCGCTTCTTCACCTGCTCTGTCCCTCCCAGCCCCTCTGCCTTCCTCCCGAATTTCCCGACGTCCTCATCCTATCTGTGTTTTAGGGAGATATTCAGTTACCACCTTTTATGAAACCGTCTTTCTCCCTTGACTCCTCCATGAAGGTAATTTCTCTCCATCTGAATTCTGACAACAGGTCACCTATATATTCTCACCTAACCTTTGCTCGACTCACTTTCTACATCCTACCTTTAATAAGTCCTGTGTGACAGTGAGCAAGCCTCTTAAATCCTCTGGTCACCAGCTTCCCGTTTCCAAAATGAAAGGGTGAATGACCCTGTCTCAACAGGTATGGGGCCCAGTCAGTGATAGCAAACAAGTCCATCTGGCCCACCCTGGTAGATGAGCCACTCAGCCCGCAGTACGTGGGTCTGAAGGGCCGGCGGCACCAGCCACACTCCTAAAGCAGGTCCTCTGGAAGGAAGACCTAAGTGGTCGCCTTAAGAAACACCTGTTGAGCGGCCACTCTAAGACCCGTGCCATGAGCTGTGGGCCAGGGAGGTGGCAGCACAAGGGCCAATGCCAAGCGCTACATGCAAGGACAGACGATGTCCTTCTGAACCTCAGAGGGGTCACGGTGTGGGAACTGAATTAAGCCCTGAGAACAGCTGATTCTCCCATCTGACCGCTCTCCTGGTGGGACGGTCATTTCTCATGC